TTGCACACCCAGTGCCATACACTAAGAATCCACCTCTGGAAAGACCAATATTCCTTTAGCAGAACATGTCTTTGCATAAACATTTACAAATTACCCTGTGACAATGCAATGATCACTCCACTCAAACTGAACTGATTGCCTATTTCGAAAAAAAAAATTCATTTTCTTCACAGGATCTGAGACTGTGCTCCTTACACAACTGAAGCTTTGAAACAAAAATATTTTTTCACATATCATGTATATAATATGTATATTATATGTATATTATAATATGTATATTATAAAAGTGAAATCCATTCCCACAGGGCACTGTGGAGGCCAAAAGCACAAGTACTTCAATAATCTCTTTGAAAACAGGTTCACTGTTGGCTATTGAAAATAATCCTTCTCAGAAAATTCCTGAATAGTCCATTCCTGAAAGATAGGAACGTATATCAGAGTTCAACACTGTTTTTTTTCTTTCCATGAATATTTGCTACTGTCCACTGTAACAAATAAGTCACAAGTTATATGACTTTGTGCAAGATGATCTATCTTGACAATTTTGAGATTCCCCTCAAAAAAAAATATTAACACTTCTTCAGACACTTAAATAAATGCACCTTGTAGAGCTACTGATATGTTTTTATTACAGTTGCCATTAAAAGAATTGTGAAATATCTTTGTTAACAACAGAATCATGTCCTTTATTAACATTATTGACAAGATTGCCAAACTTTATTTTTTTCTAAATGTGGCTCAAAGATGAACTTTCTTATAGTATTCTATCTTGGTCTGGATTTATATAGCCAAAGTAAAAAAACAGGTCATGTATCTACAGGTTCAGGCTCAACGTCATGTTTTCCCATTATCCCAAACGCAGAATACTCACCAACACTATACATGTGCATATCAAAAGCAGCATACACATTGCATCTTACGTCAACTCAAGTTTATAAAATTAATTCAAATCCTGTGTCAAAATAACAGTGATTTGCAGCACTGAATGCATGGCCATGATGCTTTCCTTAGATACTAAGTTCTATGGTAGAAATTTACAGACCGTAGCATTCCTAAATAAATTAAAAAAAAAAAAAGAAAAAAGGAAGAAAGAAAGAAAGAAGGGTACAATAAAAGACAAACATAATAGCTGTGCTCATGTCTACTTCAGATTGCCTTAATATTTGCTGGGGACGTTTGCTCAATCTTTGCACCTGATTTCTTTCAGCAAATCCTAAATTCTTACTAAAGTTCTAAAATCATTCCCATTATGTTTCCGTCAACACTAGTCTTGCTTCATTCCTCACTCGCTATGTACATGCTGAAATTCAGATTAAGTAAAAATATATTTTAAATACAGGGGTTTACTATTAAAATGCACTCTGCACTGCTCCAGCAGAGACTGCTATTCTTTTGCTGCTTCTGATAAGCACAGCACTGCTTTCCTTTAAAAACTGTGGTTTCTACATCTTTTTGTATTTACTTCTTTCCACACAGGGAGTAGACACAGAAGAAAAATGCCTAATTGACATATTAGCCTCAAGATCAAACATGGAGATCTTCCAGATGAAAGAAGCCTACCTAATGCGTAATGTTTTCTAACAAGTGCACTGTAGCAATTGTACTATGTGTGCTCTGGACGTATTAGCACACACAAAGGAAGAGAACTACAAAAATGACTACTCAATACTGACTGGTTCCCTTCCCCATCTCCTCCCCGACTATATTCCAAAGGCTGAAACAACGTGGGTGGGTGGACAGGCAAGTGGGGACAGCAGCTGAGTGCCCCCAGCAGGGCCAGGCAAAGTGCCAGCCCCATGGCCAGGTCCATGGAGAACCTGCCCAGGTTACAGTGGAATAAACACCATAGAGAATGGACAAGTATTTGAATCCTATTTATTTATCCTTTGTTTGATAATCTTCATTTGTACTATGCAGAGCATAATCATTTGTGATTTTGATTACATGTTTTTGGTTTAACCTAGAATATAATACTGATCTTCAACAAGATATCAATTCCGAGACTTCAGGGCACTTCAGAGATACGCTCATGAACCTTGCTCAGGTACTGTAAAAGCAAGTAGTAAGATTTACATTTCTAAAAAATTCATAATGTCTTTTGATACTATTTGAGAAGTCTTAAATTTTAAGGTGACTGTGGTTAAAGCTAGTTTAATAGGGCTACACTTCCAAAAAAGGGGGGGGGTGGGAATCAGATGAGGGAGAGACTAATCTTCTCAGACTTTGGCTATCAGATGGAGGCAAAGGTTAAAAGGTTATTTTATAAAGCCCCCTGATTATTCAACTGCTGATCCTCTGCTCCATCTGTCTCTTCTCAAAAGGAGTCTAGTTGGATGTACAAATGAGATTGTTATTTTTAAAGCTCTCTTTTCTCCATTATTAGAATATATAATTCAGTTGAAACATTATGTAAAAATGGAGATATATCCACATTTGACTAAGAAATAAAGTATTAAAGAGATCTCTGCTTTAAATATGATGTTCTTTGTGCTACTGCATATGCTAAATCACAGCATGTTTGCACCAACTGTCACTATGACACACTAACTTCTGCAGTTTTACCAGTTTGTAGTTTTATACAAAGTGGTCATCCTTGCCAGATCATAAGCTCCCATTCTCATTGTAGTCACTGTGCTCATTATCTTAAAAATCTTTTGTAATCCAGAGTAACAACTAATGACAAAGGTACCACAAGGAAATAACAGCATACATAAGGTATATCTGTATATAAATATATATGTGTCTGGGGAAAAAGTTCCTACTGAGATATGAAAGAGCAGCAGGTTTCACTGAGGTACAAAGAGCAGATGTGTCAAAAGTAGAAGCTATAAACAGGAAATATTTTTTTCTCTTTTTTTTTCCCTAATAATGAAAATTCTTACTTGCTTAAAAATTAAAAGCTAGAGGTTAAGCAACCTCACTTCTCATCTTTATTAAAACCATATTTTAACCACCAAACAAGCTAAATTTAAAATAATCTAAGATTATACATTATTAGTCCTTATTTTCTTAAACCCCAGGCATTGATAAAGAGGTCTAAAATCAGCAACCTCTTAGCTAATAAGATCTGCTATTTTTCTCAAGACAAGGAAAAGCTGCAGGAAACTTCAACTTTACTCCTTTATACTGTCTACTTTTGAAGATTGTTAGTCAAATCACCCATGTTTGGATATGATCTTATATTTAAACTCAGTGATAGTTTATTAAAATAGGTCCTTTCTAGTTCCTTTACCGTGCAATTTACAGAAGATTATTCTATAGCAACATTCTGATGCATCCTTTAATGCTTTTTTTCAGAAGCCCTTTGTTTAATTTCTGTTAAATCTTGGGACTGATGACACACATATCTGACTACAGTTGGAAGTAAATGTGCTCCACATATGGAGAACAAACTATTCAATTACTATTGTGTTGTATTTACAGTTTTCAAGTCCAGCCTGAAGCAGATTAGAAGTTATAGTTTATAGTCCTTCTTAAAGAAAGTAATAGAATTACAAATTCAGGCTGACTAATATTCTAGTCTGAGATGAACAAAATATGATAATTTTCTACAATTTAAAACATAATTATACAAACGTTACTGGGGAAAGTGGGCATTTGTCTCATGCAGAGTATTATTTATGTTATTGTTCACTTGTCTTTGTTTCCTGTGTTTTCTTGTGTATGCAACTTTATGCAGTCATTCCATCATAATTTACTTCAAGTAATTTATCTTATTGCTAGGAATTTCACTGTGTGAAATTCTTACTGTTTAATTAAAATATAAATTAACATTTTTAACAAGAAAGAGCTACAAATCAGTCATTCTACAAGCTGACAGCCAATACATAATTTTAATTCTCATTTTCACATATAAGGTAAAATACTGTAAATTTTAAACTAAACTGTTTCAAACACATATTAAGGCAGTGATTACATGAGCTTGAGATTGTTAAGAGTTCTGCAACCAAGGTTGATTTCTATCCTTACAAGATGGCTATGGTCAAAAAAGCAATTCCAAGAGTTGTGTGCTCTTCTCTTTTTCTAACAGCTATACAATTCAGTTCATAGTGTGTTTATTAAAGAATTTAGCTCGATTTGTGTAACTGAAAAGCTATTAAATATATGGGAAAATTAGAAGTATTCTTCAGTGTTTTGTGTATAAAACTTGTTGAACGATTTCTTAGTCTTGGTTCTTAATTTTAGACAATGATTGAGCAAGCAAAATTTCCATTATTTGATGGGCTTGCTCCTATGATTTGCGCAGGGAGAAAAAAAATTGAGAAAAGATTCTTCTGGTATTATGTATATTGATAAGAACTAATCAGTGAATGGCAAATGTTACTCTTACCCTTATTTTCCCCTCAGAGTTACATATTACAGTAAGCAATATAATATCCATACTTCTGAAAATGGTGGTGGGATGGTGGTGGTGGGTTAAAAGCTTATTTAAAATGGGACTAAGAATGGGATAGGTTTATCCAATTCCCCCATTTTTCATTCTCACGTGACGGTCATTCCAGAGTTCCTCTTATTAAAGAAAATTAAGACATAATGTGATAACTTGAGGCTATTTTCTACATTTGCAAATTCAACCATGGAATATACTTTTCCAATCTAAAAGCCCATATATGCAAGTTAGCTTCATATAGAGATAACTTTATATTCCTACAGTGCTTTAGGCTTTAATTTTTGAAGAAATTTTTTTTTTTTTTCCCAGGGAACAAGGATGGAAGGATATGCAGACCCTTCTATGGCTGCTCAGGATGCAATGGTAAATATGCTCAGATGTGAACTTCTCAAATATTAAAAAAAGAAAAAATAGAAACTTTGAAAAGTGATTTAGGACTGACAAAATATTTTGCATGTTTTTTCCTTTTTCTGGTATACTAGATTCTATGGGAAGCATGTCAGCAGAAAACAGGCGAACACAAAAACATGCTGCAAATGATTCTCTGCAACAGAAGCCACCAGCAGTTGTGGATGGGTAATCCAGCAGTTCAGCTGTTTAGGCAGAGTGGAAAGGAAAAATCTGACTTGCTAATAAAGCCATGCTTTGCATACCAAGACACTCAGTGTGCAGCAGGGCATTAGCCTGAAACCTAAGTGTGAACTGTTGGAGCTCAGACTCCCACTGATGTTAATGGGATTTTGGAAGTAATGCAAAACTGAACTTTGCCTGATGACTCCTGACAGCTGTAGACAGAACAGACAGGCACCAGGATGCCTAATAACAGAGGGAAGAATGCATGACCAAAGAAAGGCAAATGCTACGGCTGCACATAATTTACACATGACACAACAGGATGAGGTGATTTTCCTTAATGATTTTCTTCATTTTCCCTAAGTAACTTTTGCAAGGGAAAACACCTCAGGAGAGGCGGATGGAGTATTTTTAACAAATATTTGTATGTGAAAACCCATTGCTGTGTTGAAGCTTTTCCCTGGAAGTTTCAAAGAAGTTTTTCATGGGAGCACTTCAGTGTGTAAATCCACTCTCCCATAACAAAAATACACACAGAAACACAAGGGCAATTTTTATTCAAAATAGAGAATCAGACATAATTGCAGATTGCAAGAAATTCATGTGAGCTCATCCAGATCTTCCACTATAGAAAAGAAACCTATAATATCTGTTTGGTGACAAGTATGAGTTTTTGCTCTGCAGTGGAAAAACTGTCTGGTGACAAGTTTATCACTGTGCAGCCAACTGTATTTCTTATGTCAACTGCTAACAGTAGCTTATAGTTACTTTGCTATCATGGATCAACAAATTCATTCAGCTGGTGTTGATAGGATTAAAATAATGTAACACACCTGCTTTATGTTCTGCTCTCTTCCTGAGATTTGAGGGCTCTGCCTGTACTGTAGTCCTCCACAAGTTTTGTAGTAAGCAGTGAGCTGAAAATTTTCCTCCTTCCCTAAAGGAGAAAGCATGCTCTGTATATTTGTATGAATGGATACACACACTATGTAGAGAGTGTCCAGGTCTGGATACTGACATGTTACACATGTCATGCAAGCCAGGGCTTCCTGTCACAATCCGTGAATCTCTGGCCAGTTTTAGCCAAGCTGAGCAAGGAACTTGCCTTAATGACCTGACAGTCTTACGTTTCATAAACAGATGTTGCTAGATGGAGAATTTATTAAAGCTTCCAGTGAAACAGAGGCTGTGCCATGCATTCATTTCAGACTGTAGACTGAAGAACCCAGGCAGAGAATCTCCTGGAAGCCAGGTTTCAGGCTACTCATTTAGATTGCCTTACCTGGGGAACATAAACATAATGAAACACTGTGAATACTAAGGCAAAAAAATGAACTCAATAGTTATAGTACCAGGGGGGAGCAATGAACTAAAAAAAAAAAGCAAATTGATCATTATTAATGAACTAAAATAAAACAAGGTGGTTTTTTTTCCCCCTCCAAGTTTTCCAAGAGTTCCAAAATATCTCTGGGCAAGACATAGTAGATGCCATTAACGAATGTTACGATGGATACTTTCAAGAATTACTGGTTGCAATAGGTAATGTAATAATATTATTTTCACTAGCACTAATCTCTTAGTAAATATCTAGTACGTTATCTCTTGTGCATCAAGAATATTATTTTCTGATATTTTTATTCACTTTAATCTCCTACATTGTGCAATTAAATTCTCAGACATAATTACAGAAGAATATTTTAACTACTTTCCCATGTCTGTGTAAATCCAAAAATGTATCCACGCAGCACAGGCTCCTCACTGACCAGAACTAGTATTTGTTCTTTATTTTGTAACAAACTTTGTGTGATCAATGATAACTGCATTTCCAACTGATGTTAAAAATATTAAATAATTGGCAATGTTTTCAGGACTTTGGTGGATGTAAACACGTTTCAAGCTTTATGTGCCTTTGTTCTTCATTGACAGAATAAGAATAATATTTCAATAAAGAAGTCATTTGAGTGTATTCACTGATATTTAATAACCTCTTTGATGCAACAGCAATGTGGACCCACCCAAAATACGTACCATATTTTTAAAATCTCAAATACAGTTATGTTAGTGAATATTGGCAGCTTAATTTTAAGCTGAGTCATGAAAAGCCAGCTTTATATTTCAAGGAGCCCAAAGCCAAAAGAAATTATTTTATAATAATTTCCTGTTTATCTCTTGCAACTCTTCTCTCCTAGTCCTCTGCATTCGTGACAAGCCTTCCTACTTTGCTTACAGGCTTTATAATGCAATTCATGTAAGTAGTCATTTTTGACACGTCTTAAAAATCAGATTCCCTTTTTTATTTGTTTGTTTGATCATTCTTAAACAAGTACTTAAAAATCACTCTGTTCAATCTTTGCATGTTTTAAAACTGTTGGTACCTATATAAATTTCAAAGCAGTAGTGCCTAAGCTACAGTTAGCATTTGGCAGTAAAGGGTTAAATATTTAGATACCTTAAAACAGTATCTGTCTGGTAACTTTGTCAATTTTTTTTTTAATTGAAAACATTTGTTTTCTATGGACGGTATCTCCCCCTGCTGTGCAGAACTCAACGTGCACTTTTCCTATGACGCAATTTTTTGTCTGTGGAGATTTAATAAGTATTGGTAAAAATTAAATAATAAATTAGTGTTACATAAAGACAAATGGTTATATTTTCTTGTGGGACTCCATGCAGGTTCTGTTATTTTTTGAGTAAGTGCTAATATACTAAAATAAATGAGTGCCAAGGAGAAATGTGGGTAAATGCAAAGAAACACAAATTCCTCTTACTAGGGAGGAATGTCACTGAAGACATTTTCTTTTGTTTTTCATTCATTAATGAAAATAATGATGCATTATGTTTTATAAAAACAAAAGTATAATCTTATAAGGCTAATCTTTTAAGTATAATCTTTAGAAGATTGTCATAAGAGTAAGCCATGAGTAAGGATCACCTTAGAGCAGAAATGACACAGGTAGGAATTCCAAGCCAGGACCATCGAACAAAACTTCTGACCAACACTCCAAAAGTGCCCCAGTAACCTCTGCCAGATATTGCCACTACTGCTGTCCAATGTTTCAGCTAAAACAACAACTGTGGCAGCAAAGAACCAAGAAAAATCTCGGGGTCTGAAGGAAAGAGGCAATATTTTGTCTGACTTGTCAAAAGGGGATTCTGGTACATGACACGAAAAAGGTTTGCCAAAACTACCAGGAAATATCAACGATCAGGAGAAGTGATATTTGTCAATGTTCTGTATCAAGACTGCTTTTCAAGTTAAAACCTCCTTTCCAATTTTAAGAAATATCACATAAATAGCTTTCTTCTATATTATATTCAGACAACATATGTGATACAGAAATAAGTTTTTAATTATTAAGAATAAACCTCTACATTTTGTTTTAATTAATATTTTACTATATTTTCTCAGTGTTTTAAAGAACACAGAAAATTCTCAAAAGAAATGCAAGAATTTAAAATAGTGTCTGGTTTTGCAGCCAAGCTATATCCATATTAGGTCAAAAGCATTTTATACATCAGTTTATAATACAATATAATAAAACCCACCCACGATTCAAATGCTTGAAAACATAGTCCATAATGGTTTAATGGTTTATAAGAAAGATTTTAATCTAGCCAATCAAATGTATCAGATTTTCTACATGCAACTTTTTAACACAGTTCATCACTTGTTTTTGGAGAATAAGATTTCAGTATCAATGATTAGCTGATAAAACTACAATTTAGCTTTAAAGAATCTAAATTGGTCATCAGTTGTCCCAGCCCTAAATCTGTTTTGACTACTTTTATTGTCACTAGATGTCCCCATTCTCCACAGAATTACAATATGAAAATTTATTTAGAAACAGAATAAACACGTCTGAACACACATTATATGAATTCTAAACCAATGGTTAGAAGTCTCACTGAATTCGCATGTGGCAGCAGTTCTTGTGAAACACATTATTGGCTTCAGTATAATTTGAATGGACTCCACAATGACAGTCAAAACGGCTACACATAAACTGAATTCCTGAGACTACTGACAAAAGATCACCAGATTTTCGTTGTTAAAAGTTTTGGTGCATGGATAAAACACTGGCATGTGGGCACTCCTTCTTATTCAGTAAGATAAATTCTATCATTTGAGCACATGAAAACTCTATAGGATAAAATCCTTGAATGTTTAGACTCCTTTAAAGTCTAGGATACCTTTATGGATATATCTTATATATCCTATATACCTTCCTACACTATATAGATATATCTTATATTTATCTACTAAACATTATTATGAACATATACAGATAAGCAAACACATATTGTCCAATTGTCAAGTTTCCTCTCATCTTCTCTTTTCATTTTAGGACTTTGGGTTTCACAATAAAACAGTTATTAGAATTCTCATCGCCAGGAGTGAGATTGACTTGATAAATATACGGCAGCGATACAAAGAAAGATATGGGAAATCACTCTTCCATGACATTAAAGTAAGTTTCTGCAAACTTTTGCATATATTCAGCACTGGCATCACACAGACTGTGCAAAGCCCTACCAGAAAAATACAGAGGGTTAATCTCCATTTAACCACTTGGTTAAAAAAAAAAACCCACACAAAAACAAATAAAAAAAGAAATGTATAAAAACAACAGAGAATTTTCAGTGCCTTGGTTTGGCTTCAGTAAAAGAGCAGTGAATTCTCAACTCACTCCCTCTCTGTGATTTTGTCCCTCCCCAATGCAAGAGGAGTATATAAACATGGCAGGACAGTGTGTGCTGAGGAGTAGTTTGCATGAATGGTTTCGACACTAATTGAAAACATCTTACTTCATGCTGTTCTGCAAGGTTAGGCTGATACCGCTTTTGTGCAAAACTGAAATAAATATCTGGTTTTATCCTTATGCTTAGACAGCGCTTTCACAAAAACTATTCCTCTTGTACTTTTGCTCTGTATCTTAAAACAAAAATTTGAAACTGTTTAATTGTACCAAAAAAATTACTCTTGCTAAGACACTTTACTTTTTTTATATCACTATAATCCAATCGCAAGATGCACAGCAACTTTAAGAAACTGCTCAAGATTTTTTGGTATTGAACTTAAGAAGTAATAAACAGATTTGATCCAGCATTGTTTCTAGGTGCCTGAGCAACTAAAGACCAAGGTATGTGAAATTAAAAAAAATCTCAGCCTGTAATCCTTATGAAAAGAGTGTAATATCTTAAAAAACTGTATAGCAGTCTAGTCCTTGTCATACACCAAGAGAAGAAAAATTCGGAAAAGGTATAGTCACTGAAATGTTGATTTTTTTTTTTCTTGCAGCATTTTGCATCAGGCCATTATGAGAGTGCTTTACTTGCTATCTGCGCTGGTGATGCAGAAGATTATTAAGTAAGAAGACGAACTTTGAAGAGTGCAAATCTATTTTAAATAGAAATTGAAGCTATACACAATGCAGTAACTGTAAGAGATCCCTACCTTACATAATAGATCAGTAAAATCAGTACTACACATCTGCTAACATTAAATCTTTCTTGAGGGAAGAAAAAGATATTGGCAGGAAGCTGGTTTTATTCCTAGTTCTAATTAATATTTCTGGTTTTACAATTAATGTAAATTAATGAAGCAAGTGGTAAAATTACTCCATGTAAGCATATGTTTATCATTTCGTGTCACAACACTCCAAATATTTGTCAACAGGCTCTGGAAGAACCTACTCACTTCCACACTGGAGTAAGAAAAAAATATTTTGCTTTCTTTAATTTTATCAGCAGGATTTCTTCCTTTAGGTAAATTTTTTCTGCTCTTTCCTACTTCTTATACCTCATATTTTATGCTTTTGAACATTATTGTTTTAGTTACTATCAAATTAAGCATCTGCCCCATCTGTTATCAGTGACTCACCAGAATCCTTTAGTACTCTCTTTCATTTGGCCCACATACTTCATGGCATTTCCCTTATTCTGTTCGAAACAAAAGAAAAAATTAGAATCAAGTACCCAAACCATTCTTGATTCAGTGCCACGCACTGGAAAACCCTGGAAAGTGAAACATTACTTAGCTTTGAGAAGTTCCATGGAATTAAACTCTGAATTCCATCTGTACCTATTTCATTTTAATCATTAATTAAATATTGACCTTCAGAGCATGGAGGTATATCCAGGATGCCCTGAGTGGTTTAATTCAAGAGCAAACTACTAATCGATGACACTGCACCTCCAAATGAGGCTGAAGGATGTGGCGCTCCCTGGAATACCTGCAAACACAGGCTGACAACACCTGGTGACAGCAGGTCACATCGCAAGAAATAAAGACAGCAGAGCTCAGCCTCGAGTCCCCGTTCTACAAGAGAACGTGGCGCTGCTTTTTAAACACCCCGAGTCTATGGAGGGCAGCCTATCCATGCGACTTCCCAGCCTGTGTGCACGTACCTGCTGTCAGCATCTTACGGACATAGAAATGAGAGAAAGTGTGGTAATATTCACTGAAATATCTGCCCTTAGTTTTTGGCCTGCAGCCACAAGGTGTCCGACCGGGAAGAGCCGTTCTCCATGTTTTTACACGGGCACTTCTGCAGGTGCAGCTCAGTGAGACTGAATAAAGCACTGCTACAGAAACCTACAAATATCTGGTTGCTTTGCTGCCACTTGCGCCTGTCCTTCCCTCAGCCGGTGGAATTAACACTATTTGCAGCGTTATCTGGCTTCTTTGAAAATACTGACTTCATGTTACAACTCTATTGATTTATAATAAACTTAAAATTTCATTCGAGTCCCTCTTCAGTTTAACTAATTTCAAAACATTTCGAGCGCATAGTTCAATTGTTAAGCCTGAACTTTGGGAGGAACGGCTTTGGGAGCAAAAAGAAACTAAGGGGAAAAAAAAAAGGAAAATGAGCTGAGCACCGTCCCAACTTCTAAGCACCAACACAACCCTAGAGAGAAGCTCTGTTCTGATTTTGCAGCTGTAGCTAGAGGCAGCTCGCTACAGCCGTACATCGGCGCTGTGGAGTAACTTCGTTTTACCCCTGCACACCCGCAGATCGGAACGAGGACACATCCCTGGACCACAAGCGCCCCGGGCTCCCGAACATCCCGGCCGGCACGCGGGGCGGGAACTCCGCGCAGAGCCCGTCACAAGATGGCGGTGGCGGCGCTAGGACCCTGCGCGCTTTGTAACGCAACTGCCCGCGCGCCAAGCACGGGGCGGGCCCCATAACCCTCCGCCCCACCCCCCGTGTCGTTACCTGCTTTTACTGGACAGAAGCGACGTCAATCTCAGGCCTCCGCCTATCGCCAACGCGCCTCTCCTCGCCCCGCCCTCTGCGGGCGGGTGTCGCTCCTTCGGGAGTTGCCGGCTGGAAGCGGCGCTGGAGGCGCCGTGTTCGGGGGCTTTCGGGCTGCTCGGCCGCGGCCGCAGCCCCTCGGTGCCGCCGAGCTGGAAGCGGCGGGGCAGCGGGACGAGTCAGACCCAGAGCAGCAGCAGGAGCGGCGGCCGCCCGGCTCCTCACCGCCGCCGATGGAGGCGAGCCTGACGTGCGCCGTGTGCCTGTCGCTGCTGGAGGAGCCGGTGACGCTGCCGCTGTGCTCGCACAACTTCTGCCGGGGCTGCGTGCTGGAGTGCCTGGCCTCGGCCGAGGCCGCCCGCCTGCGGCAGCTGCAGCGGGGCCCGGAGCAGGCCCGCCTGGGCCGGGGGGCGCCGGGGCCGGGCCCGCCCTGCGCCCGAGTGCCGTGCCCGCTGTGCAGGAAGCTGTGCCTGCTGCCCCGCGGCGGCGTCGCCGCTCTGCCCGTCAACACCACCCTGGCAGAGGTGGTCAAGCTCTACCGGTCCGGCGCGGCGGGCGCCGCCAAGACCGGGGAGGCGGCGCCGGGGCCGAGGCCGGGGTCCGACCTGCTGTCCCCGCTGGCGCTCGGGGGAAGCTGCCACAAACACCCGAGCCGGCCGGTGCAGCTCTACTGCCGCATGTGCCGGCAGGCGGGGTGCGGGCAGTGCGTCTCCGAGGAGCACCAGGGCATCTTCCACTCCGTCAACCTCATAGACACGGTGTACCAGGAAGAAAAAGTAAGCCCGGGGCGTCCCCTCCGCGCCAGGGGCCCGACTGGGAAGTCGAGCTGTCCGCTGGGGATTCCACCAGTCACGGGTTGTGTTTACTCAGAAACGCAGGGAAAACCGCAGTGTGGTGGTCAGGAGAGAGGCAGAGGGATTGTGCTGGTTCGAGCCAGACTCAGGAGTTGTTCGTGTCTGCCGGGGTGTGCCTTCCCCTGCTACCGTCCCACTGCATCCACCACACAGGGGACCAGGCAGTATTACAGTATGAACAGATCTGAACCCAGTTTACCGAAGCACCTGGAGAGTTTTTGTTTTGGTTTCGCTTTTTTGTCGTTGTTTTGGTTTGTAGTGGGTTGGGTTTTTTTCATATAGAGACTTGCGGTCTTTGCCGAAAAAACACTGATGCTAAGAGTTTATTACATGTCTGGATCCAGTTTTTCCAAGTTCAGGAAGATGCCAGTCTTACTAACACCACCAAAATCCACGTACAGATGTTTTGTTTATAGGCTCTCTGAGCTGCCTTAGTAATTTGGGTCATAGATAATTACATATTTAGGAATAGATAGTTTGGGTGAGTAATAATTAGATAAATGTAAAACCAAGATGCCTTCCAATTTGCATGAAGGAAGCAATTGCCTGGCCTAATGCTTGGTTGGCTGGTTGTAGTGGTTGTGGTTTTTGCCAAAATATTAGGATAGGATGAGCTCTTCATGCCCTGTTCAAACTGGGTGCAGGTTGGCATGTCATACATCAGTTCTGCTGTAGAGTAATTGAAACAACTACATGGTAGTGAATGAAAAGTACTAAGTACAGCACTGACTATTCTTTAAGACAAAAGTTGCTTTTACACCGATTTTTCTCCTGCCTTTCCCATCACCAATTTCATGTCAATCAGGAAACCAGGGGAAAACAGCCTTTGCACTAGATATCCTACATAAAATTTAGTGATACTGTAGCAAAAAATCTGTGATAATATTAGTTTAAAACAAGATATCTTGGTTGTGAACAGCATTCTATTTATTTTATGTGAGGTATAAAAAAAAATTACTATCACACGGTTTGTAGTCAAACTGGAATTAAAACTTACATTGTGATAGATGTGTGTGAAGAGAGAGGTTAAAAAAAGGTTAAGTAAAACAATATCTTAACTATAAAGCAGCCGTTTCAGCAGTACGCATTGTAGGTAAGCCTAAGAACATTACTTTGAGAAAGAGCAAAAGAAAGTTTGTGTACTGATCCAGGAAAGCATTAAATGTTTTCATTGATATTTTTAATTGCGACCTTTGTTTTATATGTTGTACAAAATATCACAGAATAGTTAGGATTGGGAGGGACCCAACTCCCCTGCCAAGGCAGGGTCACTTAGAGCAGGTGACACAGGAATGCGTCCAGGTGGGGTTTGAATGTCTCCAGAGAGTGGAGGCTCCACAACCTCCCTGGGCAGCCTGTTCCAGTATTCTACCACCCTCAGTGTAAAGAAGTTCTTCCTCACATTGAGAACTTTCCATGTTCTAGTTTATGGCTGTTGATCCTTGTTCTGTTGCTGGGCACCAGTGAAAAGAGTCTGGCACTATCCTCTTGGCACCCAGGTTTAAGATATTTATATGCATTAATGAGATCCCCTCCCAGTCTTGTCTTCTCCAGACTAAACAGGCCCAGCTCATACGATCCCTCCTCATAAGAGACGTGCTCCAGACCCCTAATCATCTTTGTGGCCCTCCACTGGGCCCTCTCCAGTAGCTCTATGTTTTTCATGATCTGATTCTAGATAAAGACTGAAATGTATTTGTGGAATGGATAAACTCATAATAAAGTGTTTCAATTGTCTTTCAGTTAACCTTCTTCAGCACTCTGAAACAAATGAGAATAATAAATGAGAAGCTGATGAATGAGATCTCAAAACGACCAAATGATACAGATGTGAGTTACAGATGCTGCATATTATGTGTGTGTGTGTCTTTGTTTCTCTTCTCATGATAGCTTAATCATAACGTAGAGCATCAGGTCCTTCTTGTGGCATAGATGTCCTCTGAACTTACTTAGAGAAGTCAATATACACTGCTACTGCATTTGCATCTGTTCCTATGTTCTTGCACTTCTAGATGATGCTGAACAACGATGTGGAGATAATTGAGCTGAAATTTGGAGAAATTTTCAAAACTCTAGAAATGAAAAAACAGCAGTTACTAGAAGATGTTGAAAATCAAAGAGGTAAAAAAGAGAAAGAATTTCAGATTTGGAAGAAAATGAAAGAAACTCACAAGAAGACCATTGAGAATTTTTTGAAGGATTGTGAAAAGCTTGTCCATGAGTGTGATCCTCAGCGTTTCCTGGAGGTGATGGCCTTTTGTTTCTATTTGATGTCACTTGTATAATAAACTCAAATAGAGCCTACTGTATTGTAGGTTATGATTATGACTCAATCAGGAAAAACAAATTTGATAAATAAAAAATAGACTAAAATTATTTAACTCTTCATACTTTATTTATGACAACACTTTTAATTTTTAGAAAAGTTTGAAAAAGCTTTCTTTTCAGCTTATCAGTGGTGATTTTTAGTGTATTCACTAGGCACTTTTTTTTCTTCACTAACAAAGGAAATTAAAGTTGACTGTATAGTTGTAACTATAACACTTGCTGTGTTATGCTACCAGCTGTGAAAGTAAGCTGCCTTAGTGCTGGATGAAGAGTTATTTACTAGTACTGCCTTCAAAGTTGTCTCATATTTCTTTATTTTTCATATTTGTTTTCAAATACTTCGTGTATTAAGGACCTCCATTGCATTTTTAAACTTATAAGATACTAAAAATGCTTTCTGGGGAAAGATTTGAGGCAGAACTTTTAACTTGTCTGTGCTGCACAGTGGAGTACTGTGTTGAGATACCTGAGCTAAGGTGATTATACTGATACTTAAGCCTGCCCACCAAGGTGTGCAATAGAGGTAAATCAGGCTTTTCAAAGCTAAGCTTTGATACTTCTGGCATACGCTGTGCCTACATAGTATGTACACTTACGTATGGAAGGCTCTGAAAGTCTTCATCGTAGTGTTCAAGGGAACTGTGCCTTCTGTTCCTCCTCCACTTTTCCCTTTGGTTCCTTCTTACTCTTCTTACCTTCTTCCTCCCATTCCTCCTGTTCATTTTCTTCCTCTTCCTGCTGTTTGTTCTCTTCCTCTTTAACTTAGCACCTCCCAGCCTGCCCTCCGTAACAATACATTGTTTTTCTTTAAAGATTCATTACAGCAAGATCACCAGGTTTTTATAGGAAAGCAGCTATAATCCAGTCAGTTTTTTTACTTTCCATTACCTTTGGGAAGTGCCACTTGATTACAGTACAGTGCACTTCTTACTGCCATTATCTGCCTGATTTAAAACTAAAAGACAGCTTTTTAAATAGTGTAATAGCATATTGAGAGCACATAGCAGATGCTTTCCTCATCAAGAAATACAAAATAGTCTTTCATTTGAATACTTATAAATATCTGAACATCTGAAGTGGATTAGGTAACCATATGGATCATGATTTAAATCCCTTCACTTGGCTCCAAAGGAGTTCTTTTTTTCTTTAACACAGAATATTACAAGATAAACCATCCTAGGCTTTTTAACATTTGAGTGGTTTGGGGGTAGTGGGTTTTGTTTGCTTGTTTGTTTTGTTATTGGTGTTGTGGTTTTTTGGTGGGTTTTTTTTAATATTTTAACAAGTTTATTTCCTATAGTTTCATGATATGAAGACAGGCAATTCAGTCTCTCATGTATTTTGATAAAGCAATAACCTTCTTTTGACAGTTGGACGAAAACTCTATCTTACAAATTCTTGTTTTATTTATAGGTTGCCTGTGGCTTGAATACAAGGTATATTTTAATTTTTTTTCGTATTTTGTTTTCTGTAGTGTTCTTTTAGATATTTTACATTAAAAACTAAAAAAAAAGTTACTTTGGATATCATCAGATAAGCGATTTAAAATGAAAATAGTATTGAACAATTAAGACATAATACTTTAAGATTTTTGGATGTTCTGTATTCCAAATTATAGAAAGTGCATCAAGAATTTTAATAATTGACTACAGGGATCAGAGATAATCAAGCTTTTGAATTGGCTGCCTGACAAAAAGCAAATATAGAAATTCATTAATACTTGGTGATTGGATATTTTTAGGTATCTTATTTAAACTCAGGAACACCAAAGCATGCTTGGGCTTTTACAGAAATCTTTTAACTGTAAGTGTGTGTGTGTGGAGATTTTGTAGTGCCTTTGTATTTGTGCTTTTAGTGCACATACCCTGTGATTTCTTTCTAAAGATTCTCAATTACATTTCTTATAACTTTTTAACTTGAGTTTAAGAGAGAATATTGGAAATGGAGTTCTTTAAAATACATTGTGTTTCAGACTAACATTAGCAATGCCCTCTGAAGAAGGAGTATAATTTAGATTCAGGGAAAGTACACTAAGAAAAGTGTAGAAGGGTAATCCTTTTGCTGAACCACAGGCACTACTTCTTACAATTTTCATTGAGTATGGAACCTAATTCGAATGAATCATCAAGTAATAAGTTTTAAGAAAAAAAAATGTGAGGAACTTGACATTTTATCGAATACTTAATTTTTCTGATTTCTTCTCCCTCCTAGTGATTTCTTTTTAAAATAATTTTTTTTTATATTAGGCAGGTGTAGTTTCATGGCTAGGCTTCGCGGACGAAGATTTGGGACAGATGTAGTTTAGTTGGCATGTAAACACTAAGTGTTGTAAATTAGTTAGTTTTTTTTTCCTTTTTCAGAATGAAAACTCAGCTTGATGTGATGAATATAGCATCCAGCTGGGAAAGACCACCAGTGTGTATGCCAAAGAAGATGGATATCAAATCTGTGGTTAATGAAATCATAGCTTTGGAGTTAACACCTGTTAATGTAGGCATTGTTAAAGGTAGGGAAGAAGGACTTAATGGAGACAAGATTTGAGAGGTCACTCTAGAAACCTGCAACTTGTGGAATCAGTTCCTAATGAACAATCTGCATGGCAAAAGCATGCAAGTGTTCAGAAAGCATCAGGGCAAATTAAATGGATGATAAACTCATTGAGGGCTTTTAAATGCATTTTATAAATGTGTTTTCTTTAGAAAGTTCCTAGGCTGTATTTTTGGAATCTGGGGGAAGTATAATTTTCATATACAGCCAGTATCGCTGCTGTCAGAAGTGTGTTGATGAACTAGATGGATATTTGTTGTAGTGTAATGTGCATGTTGGCTATGCTCAGATTAAATGGTTTTACCTCACAAGAGAAAGCGTTGGATTGGGCCTCTCCAGACATTTGGAAAACTGCTTACACAGGCCTCTGGCTTTAAATCACAGAAGTTTCAACAACGACTAGGGTCTCGTTTAGGGCAATATACTCTTGTTCTTAATTGGAATCAGTATTTAGGTACACAGGAGCCTTTCTGTGTTTTCCATATTTAATACACTCTCCATCAGTATTCCTGTGTTCTTTCTAATAGGATTACCATATGAAGGAAATGAGAACTCAAGTCTGTTTAAAGATATCACAAAGCAGTGTCAGGACCAGAAGAATATACCAAACACATTTCTTGTAAGTTATTGATTATGTAGTCTACAACACTACTATATCATCTGTTTTGGCTTATCAAAATGAAATATAATGCCTGCTGCAAAACATTTTTCAGCCTGTGGCGGGACAGGATGAAGCAGACGGTAGCAAGATCGCTACTCGTTTTATGTCGATATCACAAATGTCAGCATTTCAAAATATGAGTCATGAGGTATGATTGCACATCTGTTGTAAGTATGGCTGAGTTACTGTATGTTATGATGCAACTTTCTAAATAACTGAAAACTGTTTTAAAAGCTTTTCTTAGTAGAAAGTTACCCTTCCAATTCTAGAATGAAATCTGACTAAGTATTAAAGCTGTTAGGATTTTACTTTTTTTTTTTTTTTTGTCTTCAGAAGGCTGGAACTTAAATCTTACTACTGGCTTCATATACTTACTTTTATATTTTAGTGTGGCTTTTTGAGTCACATCTGTAACTTTCTAATCCAAATAAGCTTCCCTATGCTTATATGAAGAGAAAGTCATCTGGCAGTGTTCTGTTTTCTGAAGATAATAGAATTCTGTCTTCTAAAGCTGTATAATTTGACATAAAACTGAATCCAGTCTCTTTTTTGTTCGGTTTCCCATGATGTAGTTACACAATTAGTTTTTTTTCACTTACTAACAGTTCCATTTGGTTGGCTGAGTATTGTTCTGTACAGAATAATTCTAGCTACAGTTAGTGAAGCATGGCTGGCAGCAAATCACATTACACATGTTCTGAGAATACGAGTGGCAGATGCTGGAATGCTTAGAAAAAGTTGCTTAGGTCCTTTAAATATAGAATTACTTTTCTTTTGCTATATTATTTTGGAGAACATCTATTTTCTGTTGCCATTAAGAATGCAGTTTCATATAATAATAAAAACTCCACCACCTAAATTGATTTCAGATGGCTGTTTTTCATGAGAAGCTGTCACTTAATATCTAAGCTAGTATTTTTAGCTATTTCTGATTCTGATAGTGACTTTAAATACAGTTTCCTATCGTATCATGTTTCAAAACCTACTTTGTCATCAGGATTCCTTGTGTATTTTGTTCAATTGTTTTTGAAGAACTTTTTTCTGTAGTGACTTGTGTTTTGTTGCTTTCCAGTAGCAATGGAAAAATACATCATAAATGCTATAGAATGTATGAAAACTTTTCTTCAGTCTTAGGATCATATGTGAGTTTTATAACCTCTGAATCCACAAATGCCATTTTAGATAATGGGATTTTTTTGCTGTCATTGTAGGAGTTACGTTACAAATACTATATGGAACTTCAGAAACTCAACAATTTGTTCAAGACACAAAATTTACCTGCAAATAAAAAATATAAATTTTTAACTGCTGAGGCCTGGAAGGATAAGTCCTCAGGAACTCCTCTTGTATCTTCACCTACCAAAGCAAGTAACACAGATAAAATAAAAATGGCAACCCTGCGAAGAGCAGGCCGCTTTGACAAAAGAAATTTTCTTGGAAGCATCCCATCCACAAATATAAACTTTTCTGAAACAAATGGTGACTTACAATTGTTTCATGAGGGAAATTCCCAGGAAGTAACCACTCAAGACTCAGAGAACTCTAAAGACTTGTTAGTTAAAGAAAAGTTACAGCCATCCTCAGTTACTGTTTTCAACGAAATGGACACAAATTCTAGCACTTCATCAGGCGTAAAACCAGCAGCAACAGTAGCTGTTACTGCTGCAAGTTCAGAATCTCTAGATATTTCTGCAGAGAGACTTTCTGGTGTACCTTTTACTTTCAGTGCAACTAACAATTCATTACCGAGATTTATTAAAGATAGAGGTACATTTTCCTTTAGAAGGCAAGACAGGAAATGTGCTTTCCCTCAGTTTTATCTAGGGAAATCTGATAATGTGGATAAAACTGATAACCCGGATAAACGTGGTCGTGAAACCAAAACCACAGTTTGTGATTCTTCAACCAGTCCTAATTTAGACTCAGCAGAAAGCGCAAAGCCATACATTTTGTTTCCCTTTGGCAATTCAGAAAGAGATTGGTTTGTACGATCAGAAGTCAGTAATTCATTTAAGGTTTTACCACCATCATCGCTTTATAACCAGTCTGAAAAGCCCTCTGACCAAAAAATGTTATCTTCCATGAGAGAAAAAACACTTTGTACAAAGGAAACTGCAGAATATGGTACAGAGAAAGCATCTGTCTTATGGGAACAAGGATCTCGTGCCTCAGAATCCAGCACAACTGTAGCTTGCATTACTTCAGAAACCAATACTGCTGCTGGGGTGAATGATGTCTCTGAATCACCCCTTCTCACCAATAATTGTGCATTTCCCTTCAAAAGTAACGTTCCATTATCTTCATCAGTATTTTCATTTGGAGGTATTGTCAAAAATACCTCCGAATCACCGACTACTTCTGTGTTTTTTTCTGGAAACAGAACTGAAAAAATGGAAAAGGAGAAGAGCAAATCTCCTGACAAAACACTTGAAAATCTAGGAAAACCTGTATCCTCTGAGTCTGCAGAGCCTGCTTCTAGTCATAGTCATCCATGTGAAGGCTCATGCTTTCCTGTGAACTCAGCTAAAAAAGCTGAAAGTGCAGAAATGCTTGGTGATGATAATGCTTCCTGTAGTCAACCTTTATGTTCAGTTGTGCTTCCAGCTGAATATGAGAATACATCTTCCATTCAAATTACTACAGCAACAAAACAAGAAAAAAAGGTAGAAACTGAAGAAACTGTTGCTGCAAACAACTGTATGCGTCCTAGGAGGGAAGATGAACTTGAGCCTGTACAGTTTCAGAATGCAGTGTGTTCTGTTCCTGGCATGTGCAATGATCCGTCTTTAGGAGGTTCTGTGCGTGCAGTAAATGAGACAGGAGGAATGCCAAGTGACAGCAATTCTGACACTGAGGAGCTAAGTCAAACATGTGTCTCTACTGATACCAACCACACATCAGAATATTTTTCTGTTGCAGAAGACAAAATGTCTACTAGAAGAAAATCAGACATGAAGAAAGAGTGAAATAGAAGATAACTATACTTAAATAAACTAGAAATAAATAAATTCTACTTAACACTTTAAAAGGTGGGGATATTAGTGATTTTACAGCTGTTCTTCTCCCTGATTCTTGCCAGTCGAGGTATCAGCAAGTACAGTGCAACAAAGCAATATTTGTAGCGTAATCACAAAGTCAGGCAACAACCAAAAATGTCATGTCTTGATCAAGACAGAAGTATGTCCATAAATGCTGCATCTTCAAGGATGCAGACCTTCTGAGAAGTGCAATTGGGGCATGTTTGGGTGGTGTAGAGCTGAGGTGTCCCAGAAGGCAGGTTGGGTGAAGCCTCAGCAGCAGGATTGCTGTTTGGGTACAGCAGCACTTGCACTTGCAGTAGAGTACAGCCAATAGCATTCACCTCACAGGCAGGGAGGGAAGAGAGCCACAGGGAAAATAAAGGATGTTAAAGGCATTGCTGAAAATTGCGTTGTGTATCTCACTTTGGCTGTTTCCTTTTCTGTGATGTATTTAATGTATATTGAGGGTGGAAATTCTAGTATAATTTCAATAATTTCTCTTGCACTTTGGAAATTGAAGCATCACATCAGTGTTCTTGTTGCACATTGCAGAAGGGTGTCAGTTACGTTTCTGAAATGCTGCCTTTAGGAAAAGGAAACATCACAATTCACTTTCCGTTCCTTTTGGCAAGAGCTTGAGTATACTTGGACAGATATTAATTTGCTGTTTTGATGAAAGCATTAGGAGAATCTAGCTTTTAAAACACAAAATCTTCCTTTTAAAATCTGTGTAACAAGAAAAAGGGAAAACAGCACTTCTTTCTTTGTATTAATGATTCAAAACTCATTGACTTTTTAGTCTGTGAAATATGATATAAAGTGAGGATAAAAAGACCATCTTTTCTATTTTATTAAGCCTTTTGTTGGATCCAAGATATAATTGTGCTTTAATTATTGGAATACACAGGCAGTAGTACTATTTCAGAGTAAAGCTCTATTTCCTGTTCATTCTTCACCAAAAGCTGGTGCCAGATTTTAAATTAATTTTGCATCAGATAGATATGTCAACTGGCAAGTATTAAATCAAAATGCAGAATGTTTAATACTCCTTCAGACTTTTTCAGTGGCAACTAGAAAAATCAATAATCTGCACATTATCTCTGTAACTTTATAAGAGAAATACTACTTAAATTTAAATCTCTGCAACACTTAATATACTTACTGTGAAATAGTACTTAGAAATACTATTGTTGTTCTAGGAAATGTTTACCTTACTTGTGTTGAATTCTTGGCCTCAATTTTTCTGTGGCAGTGCATTCCTTTATTAAATGTGCTGGGAATTTCTAGTATTTATAAAACTTGAATAATATTACCTTTCTGTCTGCATTATAGTAAGGAAGGTGGTAAAAATTCTCTTAATTGTCAGTTTTCTAGTTCTTTATGTTCATCTCTTAAATATTACTGTATTTAGGTTTTCTCCTAAGAATTTCTTTGCTGTTATCTCTAGACATTCTTGTCATGTTCTTCTGCATGTGTAGGAGAGAAATGGAAAACAAAGGCTGAGTGAGATGATCATGGCAGAGAGTGTCACAGATGGAAGTTGGTCTCACTCTAATAAAAGTGAGAGAAATGGAACAATTTTAGAGAGTCAGATAAGGCATCTATAAAATTTGTTGCCAGAAAGTTGTAGAAAATGGTTTTTTTCTGCTAAAAAAATTCCTAATGAGCTAGGGTTAATCCCAAACTTTATGAAATTTTTAGAGTATTACTTCTTTTCAATGTGAGGTGGTATAGAATAACCTCCATGTCCCAGCCATGCCAGCTCCTGGCTACTGCAAAAATTCACCCTGTCCTGTCCAGAACCAGGGGAATCAGTGATCTTGGAGGAACACTAGAGCCAATTCAAATAAACTATGGGATTCAGAGCTGTCCTTAGTGCATGACTGCTAATTATCAGTAGAGAATAACTTACATCACTCCCTTGGTCATTATGAAATTCTGCATGACGATGAGGATTTTTGTCAAAGCCTCACTTTCCTATGTTATCTAAACATAGGTATGTGTGTGTGTATATATTTTCAGATTACAGGTAGATGAAAAGGTAGTGTTAAACTGAAGCATTTGTATGAAAATACTGCTGAAAACTTTGCTCTTCCCAGAAAAAAAACCCAAAACAACCCCCAAAAAAATGAAACACCAAGAAAATTAGTTAGAAAACATATTTTACTAAACTCAGTGATTTGTATTACAGAGACTTCTTGACGAGTATGTATTGATGGGGAGGCTCAGAGACATAGCAACACGACCAATGTGATCAAAGCAATGTCCAATTTATTATTTAAATCAGTTAACTTTTATACAGTTTAGTTTGCTCAGGGTACATGCTCACAACAAGATGATTGGATAGCTCAATTTGTGCACGCGTCTCATGCTCTCAGTTTATTGGATCTGAGGCTCTGTCCATGTGACCTGAAATCATTCTTGGCATAGAAACCTCTTTCTAATTAATCTGCTTTTAGGGGTTTTTCCTAGATCTGCAGGTGTACTTTTATCTCTAGGTTCTCAAGGTTTTCTTACTATAAACATATTATGTTCTCAAACCTTATAATTAGACACACAGCTAACAAGTATAAACATCACATATTTTCACACAGTCTGTAAGTATAAACAATACACACTTGTCACTTCCATGGCAAGCAAGGCCTACAGAGTGCAGGAAAAATTGTTCAGAGAAATCTCTCTGTTCCGGCGACAAGTATGCCATAAGTGTCCTGGATCTTTCTGACTCTTAAAGAGGTGAAAAATGAAGCAATGTGGTTGGAACTTTTTATTAATCAGACTTCCGTGTTCTCTTATAAAACCCTCTATCTGTTTAAAATTTTGTAAACTAAAACTGCAGAGCAGTTTAAAAGCTTTTATAATGGTTCATGAAGATAGTACTATTCATGATTTAATCGAAACCTTGGAAAACAGAACAATTTCTTTTATAATCGCTGAACATCCTTCACAAAGGAGCTGAAAGTTTCTAATACTGTCCTACTGAGAGGCTAATCTCACCAGCTGTCAGAACTGTGACATATGTTCAGTACATATCTGAGAGCTATCAACACATATGCCACTGCCTGAAAAAAAGTGCAACTGAAAGATAATGTATAATTACTTAGTTTTGTAATTTATTAAAAATATTATTTAGTTGACATTAGAGCTGCTAAAATGTCAATTGGTAAAGGTTAGCTTCCTAAAGTAAACTTTTTATTACTAGTACTGATTATTAACTAAAGCTTTATTCTGAAATTTTACTTGGTAACTCAGATCTAGTAATTTTCTAACGTAAAGGCTGCTATCTGTGGTAAGAATATCTGGTGCTTTGGGTTTGGTTTTTTTTAAGTAATACGCTTCAGTTTCTCTTCATATTTTTCGCCCAGTTGTTTAAATGCCAGTAGAACATTATCATTTGGATCATCACATAGTTCGCTCAGACTTGTTCTGGTTTAAAAAAAAAAAAGATCATTGTTACATTTTAAGTTGCTTTTAAAATGAAATATATATTGTATTCTAAAAAGCACAAGTTCATCATACCCAACAGACTTAATGAGGAGTGAAAAATCTTTGAGGGCGTAGTAAGCATCTCCTTCATTTAACCTGAAGAAATAAAAAGAAATAATCAAATGAATATGCACTATACCTGTTTCACCTTTAATAAACCCAGCTATGTAGGTTGGGTAAGGATGCAGAGAGCACATTGCATGACCTCTTAACACTGACATTAGTTCATTAGGATCAGTGGAGAAAAAATATAAGCTTAATAATGCTGCAGAGGCTAATGTTTCTATAATTATATTAAACATACAAGACTCAGTAATATTAGAAAAGATAATTTATTAATATTATATTTGGAGCATGGTTTCAAGTATTGGAATAACTAACCTGTCACAAGCTAAACTGGAACACTATACTTCAGATGAACCTGCTGGCTAAACTGAGCAGGAGATTGTGTAAGCTTTCTACCAATGAGGAAGATCCTATATTTTGCAAAAAGGACCACTGATTACTATAAAGGAACTTAATAAACTCAGTTTCTAGTAATTGAGAATAGCACTTTTTTTTTTTTAATCAATATTGTGTTGAAATACTAGAATTATAGAAGGGTTTGGGCTGGAAGGGACCTTTAAAGATCATCTAGTTGATCACCTGGGTCAGGGCAGTCCCAAGCACAAATCCCGGCTGGGCAGGAAATGGATTGAGGGCTGCTGTGCGGAGAAGGACTTGGGGGGGTGATGGTTGATGAAAACTCAACATGACCCACCAATGTGTGCTCACAGCCCTGAGAGCCAATTGTATCCTGGGCTGCATCAAAAGCAGCGTGGCCAGCAGGTCAAGGGAAGGTATTCTGCCCTAGTGCTCTGTTCTTGTGAAGAGCAACCTTCCAGTATCTGAAGGGGGGCTACAGGGAAGACAGAAGGGGACTGTTCGCCAGGAACTGTAGTGATAGGACAAGGGGGAATGGCTTCAAACTGAAAAAGGGTAGGTTTCAATTAGACGTTAGGAAGAAATTCTTTATTCCGAGGGTGGTGAGGCACTGGAACAGACTGTCCAGAGAACCTGTGGATGTCTCATCTCTGGAGGTGTTCAAGGCCAGGTTGGACAGGGCTTTGAGCAACCTGGTCTAGTGGAAGGTGTCCCTGCCCATAGCAGGGGGGTTTGACCTAGATGATCTTTAAGGTCACTTTCAACCCAGGCCATTCTAAGATTCTATAGTCCCAACTCCCCTGCTATGGGCATGGACATATTTTATTAGATCAGCTTGATAGAATCAAAGAACGTGATACTATAATTGGTATATTTCCATGTGTCTCGATAATGTGGCATTAATGCCAAACTCTCCTATTGTAACCATAACAGTGCATGGAATGTGTATTCTAATTATTCTGATTAGAATCTGCTTTGAAGAGTTTACAAAAAAGCAGATAATATTCTATGTTCCCAACAGCACCCCCGGGGTGAGGTAGTATTCTCTTACTCAAAAGTTACTGGCTATGAGCATGATGGCAAAATTAAGATACTTGATAAGAGGAGCTGAGAGGGAGCTTGTGGTTGAGCTTTTTTGAGCCAAGGTTGGAAATAAAACAGTTATGTGAATGGCTTCATTAAGAACTGAAAGCTAGACATTTTATAGAGAGATGGATTTAATGAATGAGGTTACAGAAGGCCAGTGAGGATCAAAGGCAAAATCAATAATGATGAAAATTACACATAACATTTAGCAAGTGCATCTCTAAAAGTTTTAAGAGGACAACAGGACTGTAAACGGCAAGAACAAAATAAAGAAAAAAATTTAGCTTCTGAGAAGAAGACTAATGCAGTGTATAAATTGCTTAATTAGGAGGTGAAAGAGTGTCAAAGGTTAGTTGTTAGGAGCTGTATCAAGTGTAAGAGCTTGACTGGCTTGTCAGAACTTTCAGGGGGTTTTTATGTAAAAGGTTTTCTTCACAGTGAAGAACAGGGAAGTCCCTGAAATGAGGATGTCCAATGCAGTAGTCCAGAAGATGGTAACACAGGAGCAGAGAGATGTCAAAAGATTGGTCGAATAATACAGAAACAGATTAAAGTGAATGAATGATCAGTGTTAAAAGATACAGGCAAGACAACCTAAAAGTAAAGATTAAAACTCCAGTTTTGGAAAAACTGCAGTGTAAGTGATCCAGGCAAAAAGAAGAGAGGAAGACTGCATGTACCATAGACTTAAACATGAAAATATGATTCCATATGGCAGTGGTTGGCCAGCTTGGGCAAAGAGGTTTTTTTAGTGTATGGTTGTGCATTGGTTTTGCTTTTGTTTTCTTTAAAGAGAAATCCTAGTATGATGGATTTATCAAGCCAAGTTGCTAAATGCTTAGAAAAAATTAGGAAAAGGGGAAGTTTTGAAGCAACACTAATACAAATACTGAATTACTGACAAATTTTGTCCAAGCTTGTGTTTTGGATGCCTGTGTCTTTTGACACTGATCATTTATTCACTCATTAATCTGTTTCTATATTATTTGACCAAGCTTTTGACATCTCTTGGCTCCTGTGTTACCATCTTCTGGTCTACTGCATTGGACTTCCTCATTTTAGGGACTCTTCTTTTTCATTGTGAAAAAAGGCTTGATTAAATAAAAAATGTTGTGAAGAGCCTGTCAAAATGACTCATGTTGCTGAAGTCAAGACTTCCCACTTATGGTCCTATTTTGAATAGCCAGATAATATTTTACAGCCATTGCCATTAGACTTCAGTTTGGTTTATTCCTATTAAAACATTTGACTAATCTAATCACATTTAACAGCTATTTCATCCCTAAAGTCTGGAGGGAGAAGGCTTTAAAATCAAAAAGATGAACTTGTGTACCATATTGTAATGTTTAACAGTTTTATAAATGGTAGTACTTACCAGTTATCAGTTGTCAATGCAGTCAAGGAACCGTGCTTATAAAAGTCCAGTGCATATGCATTGAGTGGCCTCCTCCTT